GAGCTGCAGGTGTCTCAGGTGAGATCGTGACCATGTATGAACTGAGTTTCACTTTTCTTCAAGCTCCGTATTTTTGAGTTTACAGACGAGTTTTAACTCTGGTGTGTTTTTCAGTGCGGAGCAGAAGCAGAAAGTTAATCCTCTGAGCGTCGTGATCAAAGATCTGAACTGATCTGAGATCTGATCTGATCTGACTCTGAGTAAACCTGCTCATAATCCCTTCAACAGTCATCAGATCACACTCACTGCTGCCAAGAGCTTTTAAGAAAAGACCTGAGACACTGCCAAAAAAAAATAGACCAGGAGACGACACAGAGGAGAATCAGGAATTTACAGCTCCAACAGAAAAACAGAGGTTTGATTCTTTGTTTCAGAAACGAGTTCAAGAAGTTTCTCACTGACGACAAAAAACTCTCATTCACCACATTCTGTCACCAGGGGGCGTCAGAACCACAGACTGTAAATAAAGAAGTCTCCACTTTCTCCACAAATGAAGCTAAAATGTCTCAGATTGGAACACTGCCATTTGTGGTGACAACGTTATTTGCAGTCAGAATCGTGGGGTGGAGCCGGTACTGAGGTCCTGCCAATACACACTTTCGACCAATCAGGAGTCAGTCTCAGCTGTCAATCATGATGTCTCCCAGGAGCTAAGTGAGACCTGTTGTTTCAAAATAAAAGCTTAAACTGAACCAGGCTGCAACCGGTATTCATCTCTGAGTTCTTATTGTTCCATCAATGGGTCACATGATGAATCTGGTTTTGATTCATGATGGAAAACAGATACAGACAAAGTTCAGATGTCTCCAACTGTCATCACAGCTGTTACACCAGATCCTGATCCAGATCCAGATCTAGATCCAGAATGTAACTCAACAGTAAATAACAAACATCATGTTGATTTCTCCAGAAGCACAGATGCAGATGACGAAAGTTCCAAACTCAAAGGTTCTGGATCATCAGAGCTTCAGGTTCTGGTTCTGGATCAACATCAGAGACCAGATCATGACAACACACTAAACATGATGACATCACTCAGCAGGTCATATTAAAATATCATCTTCATCACACGATGTCATGTTGTGCATCTAATCTGTGATGAGGATTCTCTGTTACTGTGGAGACAGCAGTAATGAGACGCTGCTGCTGCTGAAGAATCAAAGTGTTTCTTGTGTTGGACACAAAGTGAACAGACAGAGGGGCCACTGTGGCCCCGACCTCGGTGAACCAGGGGCCCAGACGAGTTGGGCTCCGGCGCTCGTGGTTATCACCTCGGATCAAAGAGAAGCAGCAGCTTTCATTTAAGCTTCAAAGAAGCGCCCCCAGTCCGCATCAATGGGCTCTGTGTTCTCCAGGGGCCCCACCTGGGGCCCCACTGACCCCCCAGCCAGATGACTAAACACCCTCTCTCTTCGTCTGCCTCAGACTAATTAAGGCCAGGTGGATCAGAGGGGACAGGTGAGGAGCATGAAAACATGAGACATTAGAGACGTTTATGAAAATATGATCTGAGCTTTTACTGAGCGGCAGCGCCCCCTGCAGCCACGAGCATCGATTGACTGATCTGAACCAGGAGATAAACTCTGGTTGATATTGACAAAATGATCCACATTGAGTTTTACACAGGAAGTCAGACAGAAAACTGATAGAGACACGTCTCAGACACTGTCCTCATGTCCACAAACTTCTGGACGGTTTGATCACAAGTCCATTCTTTAGATATTCTCTCTCTCTCTAAGTATTGTAAATTATTATGGTCATTGATTTGGTAAATATGATAATATCATAATCAACATTATTATCAATATGATAAACATGACTTTTGGTTCTCTTCTATTTTATAGAATATCTGTGTTTCTCCTCAACAGTGAGACGCAGATCTGACATCACATCCTCCACAGCGCAGCAGGATATGGATAATAGGAGAGTGGCCGACTCACCTGGACGAAGCTGCACATTACATGATCTGTGAACATGGGCAGACTGGGTCGGTTCTCACGGAACACATGGACGGTGTAGATCGCCATGACGACAGGCTCTGTCTCAGCGTCGTCCGTCACCAGGATGCTGATCCTGCTGTTGCCGAGGCCAACAGGGTAGTTCGCCATCCTGCAGACAAAAAAACGTGAATCATCTGTGATGTGAGGTCAAAGGTCGGGGGTCAGGCCCTGGTTTCACCTCGGTCCTCGGTGCTCGTCCAGGTGGACCGTGCAGGATGAGCTGACGGGCATCGGTCTGATTCGAACCGTCACTGTGTCAAAGGTCACCTCGGCACAGTACTCCTTGACCCTGGGGCTGAAGGGTGGAGTCAGGGTGAGGGGGGGGTCGGTGTAGATTTGTCGGAGGTGTGGGTCGACGCAGCGACCTGAAACACACGGAGAAACCGACCAATCACAGAGCTGGATACAATTAGTGTAGTCTGTGTGAGGACCTGACTCATCATCGTATTACCTTTACCTGCAGCTCCGCCCAGGGAAGTCACAGCTGAATCCTGATTGGACGAATCTCCGTCACTCCTGTCAGGGACATGAATATAACTTTAACTTGTCTGACTGAATGATTGACAGGCTGGTGCAGCAGTGAATTATGGGATGTGGACAACTCACCAGGAGCTGATGTTTCTGAAGAGGTTGTAGTAACAGCTGATCCTGATCATGTGATCAGAGATGCTCAGAGGACGAGAGGAAGCGGAGGATGAAGAGGAGGAGGAGGAGGGAAAGAGCTGCAGAGAAACAACAGAAGAGACTGATAGAAAGGGCAGCAGCTCCACCTACTGGTGATGAGATGTAATCACAAAAACAATTTGTTTACCAGTTGAAAAGCAGAGGGCGCTGACATCTGTCTCTGAAACTGAAGAAGAAGAAGAAACTCCTCCTCTGACAAACACAGATCATCTGACCCTCCACAGCCACCGTCCTGAGAGAGAGACAGACAGGGAGAGAGGGAGAGACAGAGAGCGACAAAGAGAGAGATACAGAGAGAGAGAGAGAGAGAGACAGAAGGAGAAAGAAAGAGAGAGAGAGTGACAAAGAGAGAGAGATAGACAGAGAGACAATTACATCAACTATTGGACATCTGCAACCAAAACCCAAAGCAAACTCCAATGCTTTTTGTCCCTAAACAGAAAATACTCCAGATTATCTGAGCTCTGTCACCGACCCCAGCCTGAGGAAAACGTCGACTATGTCCAGACTCAGCAACCACAGCCTGAGAGACAGGCCGACACAGACAGACGTGGCTGCTCTGTCCACACAGACAGGTAGAGACAGAGCTGCACTTCCTGCTGCACTGTGACGCAGACATCAGAACGCAGCTCTACATGAACTTTACACACACGACCCCAAACAAACTCTCAGACCAAGAAAAACTTCATCAT